GAACACCTTCAGCACACCTCGTAAATCAGACCAGAGATACGTCAGACACCGCCATGGCGAGCCAGACGACGGATGGTGGTTATCTTGAAGAATTTGCGTTTGGTTCTGAATATGGCGATGAGTGTGCAAAATATTTGTGCAATTCCATCCTCCCTATTTGCACGCGCCCGAGGATCGGAGGCGAATGCCACTTCGACTTGTTTCGTCTACTTACTACTCTCTGACGACTGTGTTGGAGAAGCAGCATATGCATGTAGGTAATTGGTGGATTTGTTAGTTAATTCGACGCTTTTGGACAATTACCAGTCATTTACCAGTTTTTCAATAGTTTCTTGTTGAAAATCAACATTCGGAAGCATTGTTATCGATGCGTAGCCATATTTCGGATCGATTGGTGATAAAATTATTGAAAGTGGAGCAGGGGCAGCTGAGTTATTAACGTTCAAAATCTTTCTTAATTTGTTACATGTTCCATTTTCGGTTTTCACAAAGTGTACCCCCATATAGAAATCAAAGACGTAGTCCTACGTCAAAACACTTTGTTTTTTCAAGTCCGATATTTATACTTTATTTTGACGCGTTTACGAATTCCCCACGGTTAATTCCACTTCGGAACGTCCACCTAATGCCCATATGCAGAAGTCTATGGAACTAAAGGAAAGATCCGAGAAATGCAGGAGTATTCCAATTAACCTTAGTAGGCTTCAACAATAGAGGGAATTTTAGGAGGAGGTCAGTTCCATTAGTTTCAGAAAATTAGCGGGAAATTTTAAGAAAGTTCCCAGATTTTCAGAGAACTTCTGAGATGTTATTGAGTTCTTCACAAAAGTACAAAAGTTCACGGAAGCTCAAACATTTTAAGGACCGTTCAATTAAATTTAGGGCAGTACAACAAGCTTAATGAGAACTGGAGAACTATAGAGAAGATTCGAGATATTCAGGGAAGAACAGAGATCGTAAGAGCTGTTCCGTTGACATTAGATATATTTTTTTTTAATTTCAAATAAGTTTCGAGAACTTCGGCGAATTGTTACAATTTTAGAAAAGATCCATGATCGTTAGTAAAATTTAAGAAACTTTAGGAAGCCCGTAAAATTTTAGGGACGCTTAAAATTTTTATGAGAAGTATTGGGAGCATCAAGCTAGTTTCTCAAACTAAAAAAAAACTTCAATGCAGATTTATTAACTTCATGAAACATTTTGGGAACGTTCAAGTAGTTCTGAATAACATAATTATATGAAAATTCACTTGGATTTCTCCGCAGCATTCGCTTTGCGTTCTGCGTGAATTATTTTAGAAATTCGCTTGTAACGCTTCTCTGAATTTTCTAAAAAAATATCACCAGAACATACTCAAAAAAACTTCTCGCAATTCCATTGAAATATTCCGGAGAAACTATTCTCCAAAGTCTCCTAAGAATGAATTTACATTGCTCCACACTAATTCCTTAGATTCCTCCTCATAATTTGTTTGGCAAACTCTCCTGGCATTCTATTCCGAACTCCATTGAAGATCTCCTGGAGTTATTCCCAGATTTAACTGTAATCCTTATTTTAGCATTCCCGTCACTCCCAAGTATTTTCCATTAATATCCAAGGACTTATGCTCCGGATTCATTCATGAACAAACTTCATGAAATTATTCTCAGAAAGCCCTTGGAATTTTCCTTTGAAGTTCACAGGAGTTCTGCTCCTCAGAAATTCCTATGAATTTTCATTAAAATTTATTATGAATTAAATTTAGGGTTTTGGCTATCTGCGTTGTTTGGTGTTTTCTCCCGGACCAAAAAATTTATGACATCGCGAGTGATAATTTTAATTTCAGCTTAATTACGCGCTGTAAGGTGCGTGCAAGAGTTCGGTACGGACGGTGCTGCTGTTGGTTCACTCGCAACTATTTTTGCAAAAAAAATTACGTGTTTTCGACCGAAATTGACGTTGAAAGTGTATCAAAAGTGCTTCTGAACGTGTTTTGCAGTTGTAGGGGAAATGCAGGTAATGTCGGCCTAAGTGTCTCTAATTTGGGCCCATACATAAATTCAGCAATCGACTAAATTTTCAATAGCAACCAAAAATATCCTTTAGTTACGTCCCAACAACGCGTTCTTCTAGATAAAATTGATAAATAGCTGATTTTTAGCGATGGGCCCAATCTTAGATCCATAGGGGAAATTTGCACATACCCAGTTGATTTCCAGTGGAAATTCCATATCACAAAATTGATCACCGAGTTTCTTTTTTTTTTGTCGTTCGACGACGACGGGTTTGCTTTCGCGAGAGTGACGTTTATTCGATCCGTTTCTTTGCACGTGTGGGTTTTTTAACCAGCAGTGTGTATGTGTGCTTGTGATTTGCATTGCCTCCCGGGAGGCCGGTTCACCGTGTTTGGATGTCACGCTTTCGGTGTGTAGTTCTATCGAGAGTCTCGTCACCGTATGCTAGTTTGAACACGGTTCGGTTGGTAAATTTGCCGGGGAATGTGCTGATAATGTGTCTGTCGCGAGTTTTGGTGGTGATTCGGTGACGTTGCCGTTGATCAGCGAGATTACGACTGAAGGATGCCTCGCTGGATATGCCCAAGACTGGTCGAGCGGTAGCTGATGGCCGTAAACAGTTCCTGGGGAAAGCACTAGACGTGAACCTCCTCCAAGATGACCATGACAATACAAGAAAATTCGTTTTCGTTGAAGGAAGTATTGCAACAAAGTTAATACTAGGGGAAATGGATGTAATGTCGGCCTAAATGCCCCTAATTTGGGCCCATACATAAATTCAGCAATCGACTTAATTTTCAATGGCGACCAAAAATATCCATTAGTACCGTCCTAATGACGCTTTCATCTAGATAAAATTGATAAATAGCAGGTTTTTAGAGATGGACCCAATCTTCCCCGTTCACATTACAGCGTATATTAAGTGATATACGCTGTCTTGCAATGAGCTCTCATACATCTAGTTTTCACTGGAAATCTTCTGGATGAGTGCTCATTGCAAGACAGCCTATAAAACATGATATAAGGCATAGTCTGTACGAGGTATTAGATCCATAGGCCAACATTAGAGCCGTCTCCCCTATTAGATATTTTTGCAAACAGTGACAAATAGCAGACATGAACCTCAAGTGCAGGTGTCGGGCAAAGGTGGCATATCCTAGACAAATGGTAAGTTACAAATTCGCTGTTGTTGTCGTCGTAGGCGCCGTCGTCTTCACCGTCGTCTTCAACGTCGTTTTCACCGTCGTTTTCACCGTCGTTTTCACCGTTGTCTCCGCCGTCGTCTCCGCCGTCGTCTCCGCCGTCGTCTCCGCCGTCGTCTCCGCCGTCGTCTCCGCCGTCGTCTCCGCCGTCGTCTCCGCCGTCGTCTCCGCCGTCGTCTCCGCCGTCGTCTCCGCCGTCGTCTCCGCCGTCGTCTCCGCCGTCGTCTCCGCCGTCGTCTCCGCCGTCATCTTCGCCGTAGACAGTACCGTTAGAATAATTAAAATTAACTATCAGCCGCTGAAACTATATGAATTATAGCGTATTTCTGTTTTTCATTACATACCAAGAGAAATTCGGGAACGTAATTTCATTTGAATAGCTTGTTTAACCAGGGCTTAAACAATCGACACGTTGGTCATGATTGCCTGAACAATGCGTAAAGAGCAAAACGAAACATTAAACGTCGCGTGAAAGTGGAGCTTAATGAAGGCCTAAGTACTCTTTTGTAGCTTTGAGTTTTCGGGTTTGAAAGATCTTCGGTTGTAGTGGCTTGCTTACTGAGCACAAAAACGAAGTCCCAGGTCCTTTCATATTGAACATGTATGGTAAGATCGCTAGTTTATCGTGTATTTTGTAAAACTTTTCGTTGTCGTCAGTGCTGGGTTTGAATAGTTATAACAACTTGACAAACGGTATGATGTGATGTGAGGGGCTCGGTGACCTTACAGCAACCGTTTTTGCTTACTGAGCTAAACATCATGAGTCTAATCTCAAGCCCATCCACATTAGAGATTCGTCAATCGTTTTATTTGTTAACATGACTACATGGTAATAACATCAACTCGATGATTAAAAATGAGCTCATCTGCCTAGTGGCAAACTTTTTTGCTTACTGAGCGAAAGAACATGAGTTCAATCCCAAGCTCCTTCGCGTTATACAATCGTTAGGATATCAATTCAGCTTATCGTTTACCAAAACGAACCCTGCTGCAAGCCCAACCATCTTACCCAACATCCCTGTGATGCCTCGTGGAAGTGCAGGAGGACTCCTCGGTTTCCATCTAAGCGAGTGTCACGTCAACACATTCCTACCCATTCCTCTCTTGTCCTGCGTTCAGGCGCGGCTGGCGCTGGTATTGCCTAATTTGAGATCACCAGGTTTTACACATTGAGGATGATTGCTAGTCCCAAGCATCGTCTATTGGTTCTCTGTGTAATTACAGCTGGTCTGGCAATAGCAGAGTAGCAACCGTTGGCGGTCAATCAAGCTCATGCTCAAAGTTTATATCGTACATAAGTGTTTATGATATACTAATTAAATGAGACTAAAATATCAAACAAAAGAACTACTTTTCTTCTCTTTGGTAACTTTTGTGTTACAAATATAAGTCTCTATTTCTTCAACAAGGTTACTAAAATCACTATTTTTGACGGCATTGATCGCTACCTGATATATTATTTTTGATTGATCACAATCATAAATGTTTTCCAGGTGGAAATAAACTGCCGTCTCTTCACCTTCCGTTTCCAATATTTTCCTGATAGAGCTGCCAGTCAGCCGAAAGTAATCGGATCAAACTTGTATGCCTAAAATAAACCACCAACGAAACGAGCCACCCACAATCAGAATTCTACGAACGAAAACCGATTCCTGTACGTTTAACCAATGCAAAAAGGTAAACCCTAAGGCCAGCATCCTAATGAGAGCTCTTCCACGAAATTGAGCGATTCTTTTTCATCAGCTAATTACCGGTATTCATCTAAAATTCTCACCCTATCCCAACAAGTGCTGAATGTACTTACTTTGGTTCATATTTGATGAGCGACCGGCGCAGAGTATTCCTTTCGATTGTCCTCCGGATGGTATCGGTTTCACCTCCGCCTCCTCCAGGACTTCCACCGGTGGTGGAATTCACCACCGAGCCGCTTCCGCCTCCACCGACGACACTGCTGGGGTTGATGTTATTACTACTGCTATTGCTGGTGATGCTGTGCTGATGGACCAGTGAGGCCTTCTTCGAGTCGTCAAATGCCTTCAGTGCCTCCTGAGTTAGTGCCGTCGGATTGCCGGCCGTGGTGTTGGCATTGGTCGTATTGACCGTGGCCATCATCGCACCCGTAGCCATGGTCGTGGTGGCCGTCGTCATGGCGCTTGCCGCCGTAGGGAACAACTGCCGAACGGCCGAGTTGGGCCGCAGAGCATTGTGGAACAGACCGGACGAGTGCCGTTTGAGCGTATCGGACATGTAGTTGATCGGTTTGCCGGATCCCATTTCACCTTCGCCAAGCCCGGATTGGACTTCTCCGTCGCAGCACGCCTCCCGGATGGTAGATTCTTCGTTAAAGCGAACCGATCGCTTCGAACTGGTTTCCTCGTCCGATGTGACGTTGGTCGAGTCATCGTTCTGGAATATACAAAGAGAAAGCATTAGCTATATTTTTTTTCATCTGATTGCAGATTGAGATTGAGCAGCAGTGGGAAATGCTTTCCCAACAGGTTTTTAAGCACTCTAAATTGCCAATCTACAACGTCATTTACTTCATGATCCCCCCTATCTGTAGACATCCCCTCCCCTTATTTTAAATACTACACGTTAAGCTTTCGATTTTTATTGGGTGGATTTAGCGATTCGCTGAAAGCTGTCCTTTTCACCAACAGGAAGATTTATGGTCGATGGCATCTTGAGTTTTGCGAAAATAACCGAACAAGGTCACGACCGGTTGTGGTTGAAAACATCCCCCTCAGTGCCCATTCATCCAGTCAGTCCATTTGCTTTGCACTTGGAAAAATCAATCTGCAGTCAAAAGCATGTTTCACAATCATTTCTCGAGCTGACGCGAACCACACAAAAAGAGCACCGAACATGTTCGGAGTGGCTTGGAGAAGAAGGATGAACCTATACCATTTGAAAATCGATATCGAACCATACAATAAATATTGGCACACATTTGCAGTCTAAGCACGTTCGCCAGAGCTAATAAAACGCTATTTGACGGGAATGAAAAATTCATATTTTCCATTGCACGCATTGGAAGTGCTCTGGATCGGAAGATGGCGGTGGAGAATGCAGCGTGGGGATATTTTATTGCTACTCTTCCTTTTCGTCACACGATTATTGCTCGGTTGCTTTTGTTCAAGCAGAACGACATTTATTCGTTCGTCAAGCAAATCCATCATCATTTCGATATCTGCTGACGAATGACTGGATTGACGAAATTGTGGATGCTCGGATCTTGAAGTCGAGTTGAAGAATTTGAGGTGGAAAATTTAAGGAGTAAGCTCACTTCTGAGAAAAAATGTGATTTTTCAAGCGTTTCAAATGTTAGAACCCTAGCATGACTTTGATTGATGAAGTAAATAGATACCGTATGCGTGATAATGTTTGCACCATTGAGTAATGACAAAATTAAAAAAAAATCTGAATAATTTCATTTTTGAGTTTTTTTTATTTATTCAAAGGGGGTATGTTTCCCAGAGTCTTAAACTATGTTAATCATCGATCGAGTTTTCACTTGCTGCAATTACGGCCTCCACACGCTTCCGGAATGCACGGCAGATTCTAATAATGTAGTCTGGATCCATTTCTCTCCAGGTTGACCCGTACCTGTTTGCCTGAGGCTTGCTGTACTCGGGTGGCGTTTAGAACAGGCCTTGGCCTTGATGACGCGCCATATTGAGTAATCCAGCGGATTAAAATCGGGGCTGGATGGCAGCCACATATCCTTTGCCCAGAACGGAAGATGTTCCTGCAACCACTTCTGAGTGCGGTTCGAGGTGTGGCACGGAGTCCCATCTTGTTGAAATACAACATTTGGCTTCGGACCGTACTTTTATTTGATCCACGGAAGAACATACTTAATTAAAATCCCGATGTAGACCTCCGTGTTGACCTTGTCGCCTTCTGGAATGAACACCGGGTTCATTTTTTTGCCATCGGAAGCCACCAATTCAAACACCATAACGCTAGTGGGATGCTTGGTCAGATACACGTTCGTGTGCTCGTCGGCCACGTCTTTTACCGGAAGAGAACTAATATACCGGTCGGTTCTGGAATTTGATACGGGATCGACGGTAAACATGCTCTCGTCGGTGAACAGGATTACCGGATTTTTTCGCTTAAGAAAGTTCAAGATTTTCTTGCATCGTTCGACTCGTAGCTCCCGGATGCGGTTGGTAATCATGTGAGTTTTTTTTCCGTGTCCTCGGCTTCGCCCCGCAATCTTCCTTTACGATCTTCCGTGCCGTAAAGTCATTGTTACTTTGCCATTTTCCTTATTGAACGCACTGGAGTCACCCGAATTTTCCCTTTGATAGCAGCGATAACCCTCGGAAGCCGAGCTGACCTCGGACGAACTGTGGCCACATTCGCGGATAGTTGTCCTTTCTTTTCTCGGTCTAAAATCCTTTTGACGGTCCACCGAGACACTCCCACGGCGATTGAAATGTCTTTTTGCGACATTTGCGCGTGGGACAAATCACGAATACGCGGCCACTTCGTCATGGTGCAACTGTCAAACTAAGTAAATCATTTTCTTTCATACACAGCCTACTACGGTATGAGCTATTGAGTTCTCCAAGCAGGATCTCACGAACACTACACTTATAATATAATTTTACACACACTAGCGTATACTGTTATGTGCACGGTAAGAATCAAACACCATTTATGAGTAAAAGTGAACCCATTGTCAATAAAAGTGACACTACTAATTAATGAGTAAGTCTTATTATACCAATTAAGTAGTTAGCTACTGTTAGCAGAAACTCATTGTTGTTAAAATCATTTACTCATTAATGAGTAAAGCCACTTTTATTAAAAATGGGTTAACTTTTACTCATAAAAGGGTATTTGACTGTTACCGTGCAAGCGTACGGTTTGTTTTCGTTTTGTTGTTTATTTTTACTTCAGAATGACAGTTCTTACAGCAAACAAAAAAATTCTCACAGCTAACAAAAAAAATCATCTCACTAACACACGCATATCGCACCAATACGAACCCGCCTGGAGAGGACTATAGGTTACGTGCATGCAAAGAAAACCAAGGCATTGTGTGCACAGGTGAAACGGGAGCCTTATTTGTACGATGGTGCAAACATTATCACACATACGGTATCTACTGAAGAATTTTACTGTGACATCCCGAAATTTGTTTATCATCAATAATATCCAATCAACAACTACAAACGAGCATTTCGATGTTTTATTCGCTTGTACTAAATATCTTGTCGTGTTGACCCTTTGTCTGTACCTTGGGGTCAATTTGACCCCAACACACTTTGACAGGCTAGAACTTTTATATTTCTAGGTAGAGCAGGAATTAGGGCGTAACAGCTTTTGTAAACAATGACTTCTATCGCTGATTTCTAGGAATTCAAGGCACGTCCACGCAGACCAACATAACCATCGGATAGGGGAAGGTTTTCCCTACCCGATGAGGTTGTTGGTTTGCGTGGATGAGCCTTAAATTTCTAGAAATCATCAAGAGAAGTCATTGTTTACAAAAGCTGTTAGGCCCTAATTCCAGCTCTATCTAGATTTGCTAATAATTTTTTCTAATGCATTCATGATTGGGTGTGTACTCTGGGAATCAGTTATACTTGAACAATTATCTCTTGCAACAATTTTCCTGAAAAACTAGCATTCTCTGTACTCTGGGGTTAATTTGACTTCAAATTCGTCTTCTTCTTCTTCTTCTTTCCTTTATTTAACGTCGGTCTCTGATCCGCAATCTAGTGCCAATTACCGACGGACATCAATTGCTATCCATTGAATCTGCAGGAAGGAAGGCAGCTTCCACACCTGCGTAGGATATCGCACCCATTCAACACACATGTGCCGGGACCAACGGCTTTACTTCCCTTCCGAAGAAAGACGTGACCAGAGATTTTTATGCCTCAGAAAAATCCCACCGACATCGGCTGGGATTGAACCCAGGCTGATTGGGGTGATAAATCAGTCACGCTTACCACTACACCACCGGCATCGGCAGTACTTCAAATTCAAATTGCCGTATCTAAACGATAATTAAATGGATTAACATAATTTAAAATGTTTTGCAAAGTTAATTAAAAAATTAAAATAAAGGGGACATAACTCTCGTGGGGGAGGGGTAACTGTAAAATTGTGGCCATGAATTTTGGGATGTTAATACCACATTATCGTCACCATATGGGATACTGTTTTCTTCAGAAAATACAGTCAAGATTCCTAGTACGGTTAATAGGGACTAACCGGCATTAACGAATACACGTTGCATATGGGAGTAGACCTAATTGGGACCAAGCACTGATTGTACGGCAATTTGAAGAGATAACTTCCTGATGTCTTTGGAGAAGTTGTTAAGCAGATAGTTGGCCACAGTCAGTTTCCGGTAGGAGACAACTCTGGTCCTGTGGAAGATCCGGAATATCTTTAAAAATGGTCAATTCATGGAAATGATCCTAGAGCTCCACGAATTTTTCGAAACCACTTATAGACGTCTTATCAAAATAAATTCGGAGTTGTAACCGGAAAATGAACCCTGGGGACCACGGGATGGTCCACTAGAAGATCAGGAACATCCGTAAAAGTGGTCAATTCATGGAACTGATAATGTAGCTCCGTGTTTTTTTTCTTAACCACTCTTAGACATCTTAACAGAATGAATTCAAAATTGTGACCAGAATATGAACCCTGGGGACCACATGATGATTCACTGGAAGATCCGGAACATCCGTAAAAGTTGTTAATTCATGAAACTGATTCTAGACCTCCGTGGTATTACCGGTATACCGGTAAATTCGGAACATCAGTAAAAGTGGTCAATTCATGAAACTGATCGAGAACTCCGTATTTTTTCGAAAACTCTCATATACGTCTTCACATTCAGGTTCACATTCAGCCAAATTACTTCTTGAAGTAGGTATTACATTCCCTAAAAATTTCATGACAATTGGTTGATAGATTTATTTTTGGGGAGTACAGTCAGGTATCCTTATTGCCGGATTCCTTATTGCCGGTATCCCTTATTGCCGGATCCTTATTGCCGGGCTATTCGCGAATAACGATACCCACAGCTTATGGGATTTTCACTAATGGGGGCTGTAGTGGATTATCTCATTTGTTTCAATACATAAAGCTATACTGTCTTCGACAAAGTTGCTGTACTGGGTTAGACCAACAAGCCTGTGCCATTGGATTCAGGTTAAATTGGGAACTACGTCGCTAGAGGCGCTTCATTTTTATGTTACTTATGACGGGCGCTATAATATATGGATCATATTTCCAACATAGAATATTTCGTGATCCTGTCCATATAGAAAGTAACTGTCTTCAGAAAAGTTGTTCAGGTGACCAAGTCCTTTCGGATGGTGGCCATATTAGTTCAGAACTCTCTCACTACGCAGCGCTAGTGTGCATGTGAA